GGAGAGGTGTTTTAGAGACATCCTTAATGTCGTTTACCTGAAACACTTTTCGTCCAGGTATTTCCCACTGAACTGATCGCGGATGCCGATAGCAGACAAACGAGTCTTCCCCCAAAAGAATCAGCTCTCACATTATTCTCGCTGCCGTGTTCTTCTGCGTCCAAAGAGTTGTGAGAGCATAAATAGCCCACCAATACATAGGCGATAAATTCAATGGGGTCCACCTCTGCCGTTGGGGTTTCAATGCCCTCTTAATATGGAACGAGGTGGCAGCTCAAACATGGGGGAGGCCCCTCATAACGAGACGTAAGTGTCGGATCCCAGACAAAAGGCTTGCATGTTCGTAGGATTCCATTTGTACAAATGTGCTGACAGGCACAGCCTCCCGAGACAGTCGGGCGTTCGGATGGGGTGGGGGGTGGTGGGGGGGCTGGGCCAGGAAGCAGGAGTAGCTGCTTAATAGGCAAGGGGTTTCCTTGGCGATGATGGGAATGTTCTAAGATTGATTGGATGATAGCACCCAACTCTGAATACACTAAAATCCACTGAATTGTGTGCTTTAAAGGGGTGAATTTTATGACACATAAATCAATAAAATAAATTTTTAATTAATGCAAAACATCTGCAATGAACAAAATAGCAACATTTTAAATAAAGACAGGCTCCCACTTTTCCTCATCTCCCCCAAATCCCAGCCCTGAGCAAAAACTCATCCTCACACCCACACCCACCTCTCCCCTCTTCCAGTAAAGCCCTGACAACCCCCTGCAGGGTGTCCCCGGGGTGGCCCGGGGTGGCCCTGAGCCCGGAGAACAGGGTGGAAGTGGGCAGTGTGTGCTGAGGGGTGGCCCCAGGCTGGGCCTTTGCAGAGGGCCCACTGCCCTCGGGCCTGCAGAACCTCGGAGGAGGGGAGAAGGTGCCATTGGCCCTGCCACCAGGCTAGGTCAGAGGTCGGGGCGGGTTAAAGGTGATGCTAGAGCTCTCTCCCTCCGGTCAGCTCCAGGCCACCTTCTCCGTCTGGCCCCTCCCATACCTGGTGCCCCGTCCCCTTACCCTGAAGCACATCTTCATGCTTCACTCACCCACCTAACAAGCTGGACCACTGCGCTGCCCACCACAGTAGCGCTGGCCACGTGTGGCTACTGAGCCCTGGAAATGTGGCTGCGGCCACTGGCTGACATGATAATAGTTTGGCTATATTAGGTGAAATTTTACATTTTTAAAACATTTTAAAATTAAACAGTAGAAAGGTTAATTTCACCTGTTTCTTTTTACTGTTGGCAGTTTACTTTTTACGTTTTACTCCCGAAAAATTTAAAATTTTTCGTGGCTCACAGCACGTTTCTGTCGGACAGCACTGCTGCGTGACTTACCACGTGTTGTTTGTTATTTGTGGCCTGCCTGCCTCTGCCAGAGGATGCGGCCCGGAAGCAGCGTCCGTCTGTCTTGTGCGCTGCCGTCCTCCCAGGCCTAGAAGAGAGCCTCACACACACAGAATAGATGCTCAAGAAGCATTTGTCGAATGACTAACAATGTCACTGTGCACGACCATGTTTAGCTACGTGCTAAGCTTTAGTCCAGGGGTGGGCAAACTTTTGACTCGAGGGCCACAATGGGTTCTTAAACTGGACCGGAGGGCCGGAACAAAAGCATGGATGGAGTGTTTGTGTGAACTAATATAAATTCAAAGTAAACATCATTACATAAAAGGGTACGGTCTTTTTTTTTTTAGTTTTATTCATTTCAAACGGGCCGGATTCGGCCCCTCGGGCCGTAGTTTGCCCACGGCTGCTTTAGTCGTTCTCAGACGACTTTAGGGAGTAGGTACTGTTATTCCCGTTCTGCAGGGGAGAGAGCAGGCTCAGAGGGTTAAGTGGCTCGCTCAGCATCCCCCAGAGTGACTGCAGAGTCCCTTGGGGAGGTGGGACCCATCTTCCCTCCACTGCCTTCTGTGGGGTCAGACAGCTCGCTCCCAGGGCAGACTTCTCCGGTCCAGGCAGGGAGGCTGCTTGCTGCCTGCAGCTGCCCCTCGTGACTTTTCCCCTGGAGGAGCAGGAAGGGTGGGGCCGGGATCCTTTGCACAACGTTTGGACTCATTAACTCGTGCAGCCGGGCGGCTGGGCCCGGAGGTGACTGGGACTGAGGTGGATTTGGTTGAGGGGGGGCCAGCAGTGGGTGCAGGGAGCCTACAGGGAGCCTGAGGGGGAGGTTCTCCCCGCCCGGGGACACACACAGGCTATTGTCCCGGGCCCCTGAGTACGGCCTGGTGTCGAATGAGAGGGAACCTCAGGAACCTGACCCCGCTTCTCGGCAGATGTTGAGACACAAAAACCAGAAAGCTGGCTCCAGCCCCCAGCCTGCCCTTCCCACAATCGGACAAATCTGGACTCGAGGGGGCGAGTGGCAGTTTGCCTCTTTGAGAATCGCACAGACTGAGTTGGAATAGTTTGAATTTCATTGCCCCCCCCCCCCCCCATACACCCTGGGACACACTGGGTGGACTCAGGCAAGTGAGTGAGTCCTCTCTGACTCACCTATAAAGTGGAGGTAGGGATCTCCTGGACTTGCTGAGACAACTTAAAGTTGTAAAGAGCAACTGCAGAGCTCCCAGACGGTCTTGGTTCAAGGTGACTTCCAGTGACTCAGTAATTTTTTCACGGCACCTCCTACCCCCCCTACCCCCCGCCCCCCCCAAAAAAAAACACCTAACAGTTATATTTAGTAAGTAGTTAGGTCAAAACAACTAATAAGTATGTATGGCCAAACAACTTAGTAGCTGCTTGAAAAATGCACATAGATTGAAAGAAAAAATAATATTTTAGTTCCCCTTTTTAGTTGATTTTAGAGAGAGGGGGAGGGAGTGAGGGACAGAGAGAGAAACATCTATTTGTTGTCCACTTGTTGATGCATTCATTGGTTGCTTTTTGTATGTGCCCTGACCCGGGATTGAACCCACAACCTTGGTGTCTCAGGACAGTTCTCTTAACCAGCTGAGCTGCCCAGCCGGGGAGTTCCTTGTTAAATAATCATAAATTCTAATGGGATGAGTAGGCGCCAGGCAGCTGCTCAGACCTGGGAATTCGATGGGACGTCGCCACCTTCATTTACTGTCCACACTCATTTTTGCATGAGACTTGGTTTTTATCAGAACTGCCATAAACCCAGTTTCACAAAGTTATGACATCATTCTAAAGATGCAACTGCATCTGACATTCAAACTGCGAACTACGTACCTTGAGCTGATAGTTTCCAACATGGCCAACAGGGGTCGCTGTGTTCCTTTCAAAAATCCTCTCTGCCCGTCCTGCACGGCTCAGTGGTTGAGCATTGACCTATGAACCAGGAGGTCACGGTTCGATTCCTGGTCAGGGCACATGCCCGGGTTGTGGGCTCGATCTGCAGAGTGGGGTGTGCACGAGGCAGCCAATCAGTGATTCTCTATTATCATTGATGTTTCTCTCTCTCCCTCTCCCTTCCTCTCTGAAATCAATTAAAAATAAAAATAGCCCTAGCTGGTTTGGCTCAGTGTATAGAGCGTTGGCCTGTGGACTGAAGGGTCCCAGGTTCGATTCTGGTCAAGGGCATGTGTTTGGATTGCGGGCTCAGTCCCCAGTGGGGGGGCATGCAAGAGGCAGCCAATCAATGATCCTCTCTCATCATTGATGTTTCTATCTCCCTCTCTCTTTCTCTCTGAAATCAATAAAATTAAATTTTAAAAAAATCCTCCCTGCGCTGAGTTTAGGAACTGCAGGCCTAGTGGATCGCGGTGGACAAGGCTCTGAGCTTTACCACCATCTCTCCTCCTGGGCGAGCAGGTGTTTGCAGAGCCAAAGTCCAGGCAAGGCCGAAGGCTTCGTGGCTTTAGAAGGCAGCACAAGAGAGGCGCTGTCCGCCAATCTCAGAGCTCGCTCGGAATTCATTTACCCCCACCCCAGCCTTCAGCCCACCTGTGTCCAAACTCCTATTCTTCCTCCCAGCCCCACTACCCAACCCTTTCTCATGATTTCCTGGAGGTGTTTTGTCAATCCAATTAGATTTTAAACTTTGCAAGAGCAGGGAGAATCTTGACCT